CAGGATGTACAGTCCATCCTGATTCAAGTGATGGAGTATCTTGTAGACACAACTGAAGGATACCATCAGGTTGATTGTACTTGAATGGAACAATTGGACCATCTTTTTCAGCTTTAGGATGCTCATTCCCTAAATACTAAAATTTCAATAAAATTAATGACATTCTTCATAAATCACATTACATACTTGCTGAAGGACTTCTAAATCTCTAACAACAGAAAATGTAGTCATCCATTGATTAACTTCTTTCTTTTCATGATACATCATTCCAGTGTACAGTAGAGTGACTCCTGTATAAAAATTATAAATTAAAAATTATAACTGTGACATATACCTTTATCCTCATTTGGTTTTTGTTTCACTTCATCTTCAGTTGATTCATTGCTAACATTAGATGCACCTAATAATACAAAACCTCATTATGAATGTACTTCGTAAATTATACGATGAATACATACCAGAAGTAGACTCAACTTTCTGTACTTTTTGATTAGAGTCATCAGTTACTGATTCTATTCTGAAAATGAAACTCTGTACAATACAATTACAGTCACACATACCTTGAGATAGTTCAGTATTTATTGGTGAGGCAGTTCTCTCACTAGTCTCCCTTGCTCCATTACTACTATCATTATGTGTGTCATCAGTTGATCCTATTATTGTACATAATTAATAATAAAACACTACTTCCATGATAACATGTACCTTCAGGTGGTATCTCATAACCTTCCTCACTCTCACTGTCACTAGGTGTGTCTCCATTACTCATCTCAGCTACAATACCCATACAACTGAACTGCTCACGCTTTATTAATCCATATCTTTCCCCAACTCTAAAAGATCCTCCTTCAACTATACTGAACTGGTAAGGAGACTTCAGTGGAGCTCTCACAAACTTGAGGCAACCAGTCTGACTAGAGTTCCTTAGATCCACACAGTGTTGTAGCTCTATTACCAGTGGTTTTAATAGTGCCTTAGATACTGATATTGCATATACTGCACTCACTAGCACAGTACCTTTGGGTACCTTGAAATTACCACCAGCTAGTGCAGTAACAGCTACTTCAGTATCCTTGGACACTGCTCCTTGAGGACACTCTAATCTGAATCCATATTTCTCCCACTGGAGTGAGTGAGACCTGTCTCCTTGTAGGATAAAGAGCTTCTGTCCAGCTATAATGACACTAGAGTCTAGGGAATCTGAAACAATACAGACCCATCATATCATATCAAGAGTAGATAATGTAGATTATCTCTTGATCATATCTAATATAGTACACACACACACAATCATTCACATGTGTACATGTACATGTGTATAATTTACCCATTGAAGGGATCAGGTAATTAAATTGTAGTCCAATGGAACTAGTCTCTTTGATCAGTTGCTGGAGGACCTTCTCTTGTCTTTCCTTCACTAGTTTGGCTATGTACAACTCCTTGTCTTTGAGGTCTATAAATCAATAGAATATTATCATTGATTCATGATGATATACTAACTCGTAATGATCTGTTTTTCATTCTGTGATTGTTCCTCTACTTGCGATGTCAGTTTGGCTATAACTTTGTCTTTCTCAGAAATGAGATTTTGATTGTCGTCTACACAATAAACATATTCTGTCATCTAATACATGCTGTGTGTATAATTAACTAACCAATAATGATCTGTTTCTCCTTGAGATATTGTTCCTCCATATCAGCTACTTTGAGTTTCAGTTTCTCATAATCTTCTACATTAACAGAATATTCTCTCATCTAATATTATGTAGTGTTGACACACTAACCAGTAATAATCTGTTTCTTCTCCTCTACTTGTGTTTTCTCTTCCAATATTTCAGCAACTTTAGCTTTGAGCTTCTCATAATATTCTATTATCAATAAAAATATGAAAATAGAAAATAAAATGATATTTTTTACTGAAATAAAAATGCACTGCATGTATAGTAGCCCATAAATACATGTACTATGATTATTGCTAATAATACTATTTATATGGCATTATGTAAATGTAAACAATGTACACATAAACAACAGTACAACACAATAGTACCTAATTCAAGACATGATTTATCCTTTTCTGCTTGCTCAAGGTGAGTGGTAGCATCATCAAGTTGCTGACTAAGTGTTGCCTTTTTTTGAAGAAGCTGTTGCTGCTCTTTGTCTCGATCTTGCTGTATCTGCTCCTTCTCTTTTATTTCTCTTTGAAGCTGTTCCTCATAGAATTCTCTTTCTCTTTGTTGCAGATGATCTATAACTACTTGAAGCTGTTTCTCCATTCCTAAATTCTCCCAATCACTCAGTATCCTTCTTCTTAGTTGATCTTGATACTGGTCCAGAGGTATTACACTAGTAAACCAATCATTATCACTAGTGCATCCTATACAGTAGAAAATAGTGGAGGATAAGTAAGTTACTAGAAATACAAAATTAAATACAGTTATTGATCATTGTATGGTGACCTCTGTCAGTTTACATAGTTCAATATTATTGTATATTAATACACTGATAATTATTTCATTCACTCTAGCCTCTATCAATATTAGTATTCTTATCTGCAGTCATTATATATTTCACTATTCAGGAATGTAGTGTCATAGGTATATGTCAAATGCTCTCATTAAATATTCATCATAAGAATTACTTACTTTATTGTAATATTATTTTTATTAATAATCATTACATATTCAATACACATTGTATCTACTACTGTCTACATGTACTTACTGAGTTCAATGACTGCTGTATCAGTGTAGCTTGTTAGACTTCCTCCAAATTCAATTATCCAGTTTGTGGTAGGTGTCACACTCCATGTTGTTAGAGAATGATACTGTCTAAAAGTAATATTTCCTGGTAGGCTAGTCTATAAAATTGAAATTAAATTAATCAATTTGTGTATGACATATTAATTGATTTAATATCTGGTTAATAAACATAATAACTAACTGACTGTTGTATATTTGCCTAGTCTCAAAATCAATAAAATAAAAACAGTTACAAACACTAAGAAAACAGAGACAGACAGAAGGACACACACAATAAAAATAAAGAAGGAAGAGTAGGATCGAACAAAAGAAGAAGGATAACACACTGTATGAATAAAGGAAGAGAGAGAATAAGAGGGAATTTACAACAACTATAGAAAAGAGCATAAGGAAGCAAATAATAATAAGAAAGAACAACGTAGCTCACGCTACCAATGGTACTATCAAACCGAACGAATTGAAGAAGAAGAAAATGAGAACTTGAGAGAACTATTTGAACAACTTTAGAACAACTGAAGAAATTTGATTAGTGCAGGACTATTTATATGGAGGATGTGTGGTTATTAATTGTTATTATATTACAGTTAATTAAATAGACCAGGCAGTTACCACAATGACAGTACGTAACACAAAGATGACATAATAAAATTAATAATACATAATATATTAATAGACAAGTATACACAGCTGAGTGTGTTATTATATCATGTGAGTCCTCAATTAAGAACTTACTAAGTGTCTGCATGGACATACACACATACACATAAATGTATTCGACACAAACATGTGTTAAAATGTTTTTACAAATATAATATGTGATATATGCAATAAGACACTGAATTCCATAGGAAGGTCTAGTGCTAATCATTCTCCAGAGAACTGACAGAAGAAATGAAACATGAACAACTTACAACCATGAGTATCAGTAATTTACATGTATAATACCTCAGTCCAAGATGTCTGCCCTCTACTTTGCCTTCAGCAGTCATGCATCTTAATTGGCAAGGAGGGCTATAGCTGCTAAGGGGGGACAGAAACAAAAAGATAGGGGATCCTCTGCATGACTAGCATTCACCCAATTTTTAGCTAAATTCCATTGAAAATTGGATTTTTCAAAAATTTTGTATAATGAAATTCTGGGGTCCTCACCCAAGCAACTAATCAAGAGCACACGGATATTATTGCAATTTCAGTGAGCCTGCATGTACCTTAAGGTTCAGTTAAATTATATTAATGCACACTTGGAAATCATACTAAAACTGTAATTGACACTGTGTATAAATCCATCTTTAGACATGCACAAACAAATATATATACTGTAGAGCACTTTTAAATTGGTGGAGTTTCATTTTCGCAATTAGCAATTTGCAATTGAAATTGTCACTGTTAAAATATCATAATATGTACATGTACATTACAAACATCATGAAATGTTTCATTAGTCAAGCATCATAAATTCATAATTAATTAATACTCACCAGTTCATTCCATTTTCTTTTGTTGATGTCCAGTAACCATGCATCAGAGGCAGGAAATCCACCCACCACTAGTAAGTGTGGTCCTGAACTAGTGGTAATCAATACACTAGAATGACCACTTCTTCCCTTAGGCCATTGTACTGATCCTCCAGGATTAGGTACTTCTAATATATCCTGAAAAAACAATAAGATCAATGTAATAAAATGAAATTCAGTGACCTATAACACAATTTAAAGTTGCATTAACTTCTCTTATCACCAATAAAATTAATACCCCATTAATCTTAATTACTATTCTCAAATGCTATTATTACACTGCTATACATCTAGTAAATTTGCAAAATATGTAGCTTCTTTGTGGTAATTAATTAAAGGTCACCTAGGCTATGTTCTTATTGCTGCTTAGTATAGTTCTCACCACTGATGTCCTAGTGAAGCTTATCATATACAGTTTATTGCTGTCTTCATTATCAGTAAGGCCTCCGAACATTACCGCAGTGTTATTAGTAACTGATGTTAGAGTGAAGGAACTAATAGGAGGTGGTCTGTCTCCAGTAACAACAGGAGATATCCATTGATCTAATAATGCAAATGCAACTTATCACATGCACACATACATACACTATCATGTACATTCATCCTACATATTTCATGTGTACTCACAGAGTCTCACACACACATGCATATACTAAGAATCAATAATGATTACTGACCTAATGAAATCTTGTAATAATGTATTTCATTACATCTACCAGTATCTTTATATTGAGCATTATGTTGCTCAGGTGTAGAAGATGATCCAATTCCTCCAATTATTGCAAGATAGTCCTCACCATCAAAATGAATTGATATCATGCAACCGTACAGCTTCCTCAATGGGCTGCGATCAGAACTAGAAGGAGAGAGTTCCATCCACTTGAATGTATTGACGTTAAAACAATGCATGCTGTTATGATAGCCATGGCCAAGACCACCAAAGTAATAAATATTGTTTCCAACTGCAGCAGATGAATAGCCACTGGTTTTTGGAGGAGGGGTACCAGTAGTAGGTTTCTGGTCCCAAGTTCCCATTGGTAAATGATACACATCCATTTGTGCTTTTTCCTTTTGACTGTCTTGCACTCCAGACAGGGCTCCACTCCACATATATAGGTAGTCTCCTACCTTTACTGTGGAGTGTCCCCATCTCTTCACTGGTTGATAGTCCGCTATAAAAAACAAAAGGTACCAGTATTAAACAGAGTAACAGTAATATAGTGATGAGTTAGAACAAGGACAGGATACAGAGGAGTAAAGTAAGTGAGAGAGTAAGAGAGACAAAGAATGAATGAAAGAGATACAAAGAGAAGAGAATAGTGATCCTCACTTTTAGATGCCATTGCAGACTTGCAAAATACCAGCCCCACCCAAAACCATCAGACAGGGCGTGGTGAATTAAGCCATGGAATTATCTATGTATCTCAGAAAGTTTTCTACTATCTCTGGTTTCTTCTAGTGAAAACAGAAAATGATGTCACTTCATGACTATACAGTCAAAGTTAGACAATTTACGTGTATTTTCATGAGTGGTTTATTTTGTGCTTTGTTCAACCTCTGTTTTTGTTTCTCTCTCTCTCTCTCAGTGTTCTTGATGATGATTGTAATACCATTATTTCCGTCTCATGGTCTGTGAAAAGGATACATGTACATGTAAGTCCTAATATGGAATTGAATCAGATTCATACACTAATGGAAGTGGATGCATGTACATGTACTGTACCATTCAGAGGCATATTTAGGGGGGGCTGAGGGGGTTTGAGCACCCCCCCCCCTCATGGCTGGGCTCAGAAAGAAAATTACTGAAGTCCTGGACTCTTGCATCACTACCAAGCCTCTTAACAAAGTTATCTAGCCCCCTGATCATGATTTCAGCAGTTTTCAGTGCTTTAAGGAGCAATCAGAAGTATTAGTAACATGGCAGTATCCTTGAAATGATCTTGGGCCCCACCCGTAATTGATGAAAATACAGGAAAAGGCCATTTTACCGCCGTAAAGTGGGTGTGGCCAAAACCGCAGCATGCTTTGCGCGCCCTCAGCACCCCCCTTTTCAAGTTCCTAGATACACCACTGCCATTATACATTTATGTACATGTACATGTGTATCAGAATAATGTTGATGAGAGAATAGATTGAATGAGAAAACTTGAAATAATGAGGAGTGAGAGAGAGAGAGAGAGGGAGGGATCTCAGCTTTTATTTCATGTACTCCTCCTATTAGCTATACTACATGGACAGTATTACCTCAATTTGTCTTCATAACATTGTCCATTAATTAATACATGTACATGTACATGTGTATTTATAGTCATTTTCAGTTAATGATACACGTACATGTACATGTACTGCATGTTTTTTTGTTTTTCTTGCTTTTAACTGCTTCATTGTAGTTAACTTATTAATTTGCTAACTTGATTCATACACTTTACTAATCCATTAAAACTGTACCTAAGCAGTGTCACACACAATTTGAAGGAAAAGTGATTGAAAAACAGGAAACATTTCCTATCACCATGTACATACATGTATGTATTTTTTCTCCATTTTCTCATTTCTTTACTTGTTTCTTTTCTTTCTTCCCTTTCTTCTTTCTATTTTCCCTCCTCCCCCTCATTCTATTCCTTTCCTTCTTTCCTTTCTTTATGTATATCTCCCCCTCCCTTTCTTTCTATTATAGTCTCTCCTATATGTTAGGAAGGTTTGAGTCTCTTCATTATCTTCTCTTTGATGTTCTCCTCTTAATTAAATGAATGAGACCTGACATCCTCCAGAAAGGAAAAGTATTGGTCCTCTAGTATCTCTTGTATTGAAGAACCAGGAGACCACATGTGGCCAACCTCTCTCTCGTCCCTCAAGATCCCCTCGTCACCATACAAGTGAGAGATCATGTGACTTTTGATGATAGTCATGTGATGTTGTGTAGGTAAGGATGAGGAGTGGGTGGAGTGAGGGGAAGTGTGGTCAGAAAAGAAGTTGTGATGATGAAAGCTATGCTACCTCCTGAGTAAGAATATTAATGTGCCTTTTAATAAATACTGTATCGTTTGAAATTTATGTGTGACTGCTGTTTACATTTTTGTAAACAGTCAAAGCCACTTTCAATTTTAATATGTTTAGCCTGTAATCATGAGGAAGAATAAAAATTGTAATAATAAGTTTTTGCTGCTTTATTTCATTCGCTTTTCTAAAGTTTGCCCATTTTTCCCTGTATTTTGACACGTACATGTACATGTCATTCAAAATATTTCATGATGGGAATTAGCTTAAATATTTTACACAGCATGAGAATACAATGTGCATGTGCATGTATTTACATGTGTACATGTAATTAAATACAGGAAACTTTGGAGAGAGTTAAATTTGGCAAATTTGTCGTTTTGATAGCCATTTGCCAAAATAAAACCCACCATTTTCAGCCATTTTATGCATGCTCAATGGCATGTGGCTACTAATTTGCGAAATTAATTTTTGCCAATCACCAAATTTAACTCCCTCCAAAATTTCCTGCTGTACAGTATATGTAATGAAATTAGTAATTAATATTTTGGATTTAATTTTGCAAAATATTAAATTCAATTGCACTGTTTCTTTCAGAAGTTCCCTGTCATGGACTGGTGATATATTATGTAGTGGTCAATATTACAGTGGGACCCACGTCTACCAGGACACTATTAGACCACACCCAGGAGGTCTGTGAGATTCACTGGTCACCAAGTCATCAGCAACTTGTGTTAGGAGGAAATGATAATAAATATAGTGAGTTTACAATTTTGTTAATTTCATTTATTTTCCATTGGCTAGCTATGTTCATGTAGAAAGTGTGAGCTAATTCTGACTAAAGTTATAGCCATTTTAAGAAACAACTTTTGAAAAATACCCCATACTATAAATATAGCTTTAGCTTTTTTCAGACTGACCCTCATTTTTAAAAACATTTTCTGATAGATATTGATGTCCTTATGCTATGTAGAAAGTTTAAGCTGATTCCGACTATAATTTTTGAGTTATGGTCATTTTTAAAAATGAGCCAATTTTGAATAATATCCTGCTCATAGTTTTTTCAAAAATGCGTCCAATTTTTAATTACATTTTCTGATGTATATTGATGTCCTTATGCTATGTAAAAAGTTTGAACTGATTCCGATAAATAATTTTTGAGTTATGAGCATTTTAAGAAACGACAATTTTTTGCCTGCTACATTCATTTGTGAATGTCCATTAGCAAAGTAAATTGTACATTAATATAGAATCAATTAACTATTTGTTGGTATGGTACAGTTAGTATAGATTAATGGGGCTTTATTTTTGGTCCATTTAGTATTTTGTAATTTGACCATAAGATAACAATTAATGTATGAAGTTGAAGTATAAACCATAGCCTATGCCACTAAGTTGAAAAAGTTACCTTAAACATAGATAATGGAACGAGGGGAGGATTGGAAACTGGATCACGTGCGCCACTTTTCACAGTTCGATGTGTGTTTGCTGCGAAAATGGCGCCCTGTACAGCTCTTGTTTTTTG